CTGAGACAATCTTTTCTGTTTCTGACATTTGTGTATAAATTTATATGTTTGTGTATATATGTGTGTGTATGTATGTATGTGTATATATATATATATATATATATTAGAGTGCACATATTTTCTGTACTTAGAGCAGCTACTTTTATCAACGTTTGATTTTGTGTTTTAATGTCAGAAACAGAAAAGATTGTCTCAGAAATATCATCTCGTCCGGTCGCAGGAAGCTTCTTCACGTCGTTTGTTTTAATCGGTTTAATATTAATACATCTGTTCCGCCTGAAAGAACAAACACGTCCGTCTGCTTCTTCAGGGTGTTGAGGTCTCAGCTTTAACAGTTTAACCTTTATTTATGAGCAAAGAATAAAAGTCTTTCAATTGGATTTAAAAATCTAGAATTTTGCCACTTTTGTTTTTTAAACCAGGGGTCGACAAAAGCATTCGCTAACAAGCCGCAATAAATAACATCCATTTAATTTAAATAAATATCTTTTAATAACTGAATAAGCCAACTTGCAGGTGTTTAAAGCTACACTTTGTGATTCTCCTTTTAAACCACTAGGGGGCAGAAACAGACCTGACGTGAATCTGCTGATGACGTCTAAGCTTCAGCAAACAGTTGAATTAATTAAATCAAACATGTTTGCTCAGCTGTCTGTAGGTTTGTCATTAATTCCTTTAATTATTCTCTTCTGCTCAATGACTCCCACTGAAACCAGTTACAGCATCACAGTCGCTGGTTTACAGTGTTTCATTGTTAGTCAACTGTCACAAACACAAAGAGCTGCATTGCTAAATGCAGAAGACTTCATCCCAGTTTACATTCAAAAATATAATTTCTTTGTTTGTTTTCTCATCCTGACACATTTTTAAACATCTGGTGGAAAAGTTTTCATTGTTTGAGATGTTTGTTTCTTATTAATTCAACAACATATCTGCTGTTCGATGATCAACTCAGGAATCTTTAGTTTATTCCTAACAAGGAGAAGTTATTATTATTATCACATTATCACCATTATCAAAGGTGTTTTCACTTATTTTACTTCTTCTAATTTGGCCTCTTCTCAACTCTTTGTTCTTGAACGTGTACAGAATGTATTATTTCTATTATTAATTACATTTAATTAATCTGCTGATTAGTTTCTAGATTCGTTTTGTCTAAAAAAAAAAGTCAGAAAGTATTAAAACTAATTTAAAATGTCTTGTTTGTCTAAAATCACTGAAAACTAACAAAGCCAGTATTCAGATTCAGTGAAAGCTAAATGATCATTTTATAACAATAATAACTTCTGCTGTTGGAACGTCTACATCAACAGTTTGGAATGAAACTCTTCAATCACACGTTAAATATTGTTTAAAGTGATCTGTGATCATAACTGTTGTTCGTCGTGTTTCTCCAGACGAGGTTCATCGTTGACGCTCTCGTGTTCCCTCTGAAGCTCACTCCTGCTGCTTAAGACCGTGTTGTGTTCTGTAGTCCTGTTACGTTTCTGTGAGATATGTTTGTACAAATCTGAAGTGTATTAAAAAATGTTCAAATGTATTGAGCATGGATGTTTGTTTTGTTCTTCATTGAGGGAATTCGTGCTGATGACTCGATGACGTTTGTTCATCAGTTACTCTCCGTCTGTTAAGAACAGGAAGTCTTAATGAACTGAATGAGAGCTGCTTCATCAACAGCAACACTACGTTTAAACATCCCACGTCTCATTCATCATCCCACTGTTATGTATGTTTGTAAACGGATGTTTTGATTTAGTTCTTCTGTATATCACTGATAATAATCAAGACTTCTTCCTGTTTTATGATCGTCTGTTCACCCAGATGTTTTCTACATGAAGTCAAGGTAGCAGAGTATTTGATGTGGAGACGGTCATTTAGTGGGGGAAGTATTACAGTGATGGATTGTAAGTACATGGCGTGCGTTGTGTTTGCTCCTACAGGCTTCTAATGCCTTCTGAATACACATCGCATAACCGTTCAAAATAACCTTCTATACTCAGCTTTACAACATTTAAACGTCAAACTGCTCCTTTAAACTCCAGGGTGGTGGTTTCCGACCTTTTCTTTTTGTTTTAACACGTAATATGAATCTATATTTAGCGGTTGAACGTCTGTCGGCGGTGAGCAGCTGAGTCGAAGAGGGATTTTCCAGCTCTCAGACTTTTTAATATGTTTTCTTTTTAGAAAGCCTGAAACGGCAAAAACAGTGTTTCACAAGAAAGAAGCTGAGGTTTGAGAAAAGTCTGAAAAATAAACATAATTTAGTTGTTTCCTTTTTTTCTCTTCATCAAATGAAAAGAACTCCTTCAGTCTTCCAGCTCCAGAAGTCTCCGGCTCCTTCGGGGATCTGAACCATCAACCTCCGGGTCTCCTCCTACAAATCCTGATAGTTTAAAACACTGAGGAAAGTAAAGACAGCAGTCAGAAGTGAACTTCGATAAAAGATTATATTGCTGGTCTTAAATAACTATCGTCGAGTGAAACATATGCTTAGATGAACACCTTCAGTTTGATACGAACCACGACAACCTGTACACGCAGCATTTTACAATACAGTACTTTTTCCCTGCGATGGTGCAACAACTGAATCACATTTGGGCATTTCTCTTCAAACAGTAACACAAAAGTACACAACAAATACATAAATAGCTTTTGTTTCCCTTTAAATCATTTATAACGCAACTCTGTTCATGATTCTGGCTCTTGCTACGACACGTCATTTGACCGATATATAAATTAACAAACATCAACAACAAATAATAATAATAATAATAATAATTAGAACAATAATAACATAAATCTGTCTAGCTTACAGAATGAAATGATGGAACAGAGATCACGTGAAGCATCAAAACAGTTTCTCCGCTTTTGATCTCCTTTATTCCAAAATGCAGAAGCTCATTTTCCCGCTTAAAGAGTTAATTTGTGAGAGAAATGTTTGGCGCCATGTTGGCTCGAGCAGGAGTCCACCGGGACAACTAGCTTCCTGAGGGTCCAGAGCAACGGGGTCCTCAGAAGGTGGAGACGAAAAAATCTCCAAATATGGGGCCACCTGAGTTTCTTCTTGGGAGTTCAGTTCTTCCTCTACAAGACTGGAATTAGCGCCTCCGGTGGCGGCGACTGGTATCGCGACAGCACGCGTTAAGTTGGCGAGGATCAGCCTCCCGTTCGGTGAGTTTTTCGGTCCATCGCCGTAACGTGCGGCTCAAACGTCTAAGTCAGATAGATCTGGACCCTGAGTACCTTATCGCATGTGATCTGTCGACCCCAGACCCTGTGGTGTCCTTGTTTGGCCCCCCTGATTGTGATACTATAACCGACCGTCCCCTACCTCCCCCCCCCCCCCCGACGTCACAAGGGTCACCGGCCGGGGCAGGCTGTGGGTTTGATGCAGCGTCCCTGGAACAGCACCAGGTTGGCGGGGCAGTGGCAGCCGGCCACGCAGGGCTTGTGGCACGGTCCGATCTCGTTCCAGTTGTCGCAGGTTATGGTGCAGCCCGGTCCGCAGGTGTCGTACACGGCGCCGTGTTTACACTGGGTCGCTGAAGGGAGGAGAGAGAAGGTTAACAAATTTATTTAAGAAATCAGTTCGGTGCATTATTCTCTAAAACGCCAGAGGGCGTACGAACAAACAAACTGCGAAGAAGCAAGAAGACAACGAGTGTAACCGGAAAAACGCTGAAACAAACTTCTTTAATGCAGAGGAGGGGTTGTGATTAACTGTAAACTCTTTCTTCATATTCAGGGACTACTTTATTGTCTTTATACAAGCCCTGTGAAGAAACAAGTCAAGTATTAAAAGCATTATAAAGAAACAAAGGTTGAATATCCTGTAAACTATTTGCCTGCAAAATATTTACTCAAATGTAGATTTTTAAGACCTCCAGTTTCTAAAGCATTTAAAAACGAATCAACCGTCGACATGTTGCTTTTATGAATGCAATATTTGTTTCATTATCACGTCCGAAAAAGCTCAGATCGCACCAAATTTCAGAGGTGCACGACCACCAAGCACGGGAATGAACTAAGTTTCTTGTAATTAACTGCTGGTCCTTCCTGTGGTCCATGAGAAGGTTTCACCAAAGCTTTGACATCATAAGCATCTTAAAGACAGACCCGCATTCCAAATATGGTAACTTCTGTTCATCGGTTGCGAAAAAACGACATGGCAACGGCCGTAATCCAAGATGGCGACTGCAAAATCGGCGAACTCGAGGCTTCAAAACATCAGTCCACAAACCAATGAGTGACGTCACGACGACTACATCCGCTTCTTATAGAAGTCTGTGGCTAAACCTCTGTGAGTGAAGCCAAAACGTCGGACTCATCTGTGGTCTGTCAGTAGCTGTAAATGATATTAAATGTGTGTGACACCACGTGTCATGTGAGCGATTGTAATCAGGTCACGAGCACCGTCACTCACCCATACAGGCGGTGTCGGCCTTCCAGAGGACGGGCGCTCCCTCCCTCTCGCAGGCTCGGCTGTAGGCGATGAAGGACTCACAGTAGCAGTTTTTATGGACCGGACACTCGCACATGTCCGTCACACACGACCTGCAGACGAGCAGGGCGATAAATAATACTCTTTATTGAACACGGGTGGGTTGTATCTGCATTTCCTTCAGGTTCATGCATAGAACAGTGAGTAAATAATGAACATATTCACAACATTTATCGGCATTATTCATAGAAATGGAACAGGAGTAGAACAGGCATTGCACTGTTTTCATTTGACTAGTAAAAAAACAAAACAATGCACGTCAGTGAGGCCTTAAAATGTTGACACAGCTCCAGAGACGGATGGCTTGCTAGTTAGCTAGTTAGCTAGTTAGCTTGTCCTTCTCCGACAGGGAGTGAAACGGAGGGACTGTTAGACGGCAAGCTAGCTAACTAACCAGCTGTCCGCTAGTTAGGTTGATAGCTTTAATGCTACTCTCGTTACAGAAAATGAGCCGAATAGCAGTACCAGTGTCCGCTAGTTAGCTAGCGAGCTAATTCCACAGGAAAATTAGCCGAACAAAGTTGTCACTCATGTGGCGACAGCAATGTGCTTTCTACAAGTGACAAGCGTGTGTGGATGACGCATTAAATTGTGTAATTTTACTCATTTAATCTGTCTCTCTACGTTCTATAACATTACTCGTTTTAGTCGAAAACCTCCGCTCAGTGAGTTCACAACTTGCTGAAAGGCGGTTTACTTTATACGGAGATTAGCCTGCTACAGTGGTCACAACAGTAAACAAAAAATGGCCGTCGCTCTGAACATCCAGCTACATTGACTTTAATGAGAATGGTCTTTTCTACTCCTCCATTATCATTACGGCTCAGTCTCTGGGTGAGAGTCTGTCCTCTGACCTGTAGAAGGGGGCGAAGTCAACCACACGGTGGCACTTCTGAAACTCCCACAACTTGATCTTGTGGCACTCCCGGTGGGCGCGGAACTTGACTTTGACGCTGCCGGGACACAGGAAGGAGGTCGGGCGGCGGGGCGGAGGCTGCTGGGAGCAAACCTCGTTTCCCTCGACGCGCCACGACTCGGCGAACTCGTCCACGTCGAACTTGAACTGGCCGTCGCCTCCCATGGTGTCGTCGCGCTTGTGGCCGTTGTAGTTGCCGCACAGTCCGCAGAGGCGTCCGCGCAGGTGCGGGGCAGCCACCACCTCCACGAAACTGTCGCCGTCCCACGTGATCTCCAGACCTGCAGGGGGGGAAGACAAAGACTTCATGATCGTCCCTTCAGACTTCTCACTTCTCTACCCAACAAACCAAACAGAGGCAGCAGCGCGAGTCTTTCAGCAATAAATATTCTAGAGATCGAGCATGAAACTTTGTGGTCTGCAAAATAATCCAAAATTCTATTTTGGAGCTTTTTCCAGAGCTTCCACCAATCTGTCAAACAGCAAAACGTTCAGTAAAAAGACCCATTTCATAATGACAACTGTGGTTTGAATCATCATTTCAACAGCAATTCATACATTGATAAACTTACAAAAGCAATTACAAATAATTAATTCAATTAGCATTAAAATGTAGCTCATACAAACTCAAAGAAAAGCTCTAGATTATAGTGTATTTAGTTTTATTTATAATTAGTATATAAGTTATTGAGTTCACGGGGACGGTACGATGTAAATAATGATAACATGAGCGACACATGATCGCTATTATGAATCAATGTATTGATTTATATAAGATAAGATAGAACTTTATTAACCCCAAAATCAATTCTGGAGCCAGAAATTGATGAAAGAAGAATAACAACAGAAGAATAATCGTAAACGCTTAATTTTTTTACTCTTGTATTTCATTTTTTTATTTTTTTTCTATTTTAGTTGAGTTTTTTATTTATTTACTTTACTCTTATTGCTCCTGTGTTCTATTTGCACTGGTGTCAGTATTATTTATTTGCACTTAATAATTGTTATTCTATTGTTCATATATGTTTATATTTTTATTCTTTTGTAATCTTTAATGAAACTCTGGCACAAGAATTTCCTTCGAGATAAATAAAGTTTATTCTTATCTTATAAGAAAAAACAATGGAATAAAAAAACATATAATTAGTAAGTGTATAAGAAGTAATAATGACAGCAGTAAGAGTAAAGTAAATATAGTAAATGCTTACAGCTGTGCTTAATAGAAACTAAAACATGAAACAGATATTGGGAGTAAATCTGCACGATGTTACAAAGAGTAATATCGCTCATGACGTCTGCTGACCTGCGATGGTGGTGAGTTTGAGCAGGTACCCGTCCAGGTCGATGTGCACCCCGGGGCCGTGGTAGGGCAGGGCGATGCGGGTCCCGTTCCTCCGGACCGTCAGGTGCTGGTGGAGGCCGAGGATCAAACCTCCGAGTCTCACCTCAACGGACTGAGTCCAGGAGAAGGAACGAGTGCGCCGGGCGTCGTTCTTCACCAACACCTAGGAGACGAACGGAGCTCCGTCAAATTCTTTAAATGTGTTGATTGACATGGAGCCCGGCAGGAGCGTTGATATCGGTCTCCTACCATGAAGCTGGAGTCTGGGCCGTTGACGTTGTTTCCCGGTCCTCCGGACGGGACGGCGCCGCAATCACGAGTCAGCACGTACTGACAGGTTCCCTGAAAGTTAAAGGTCCTGCCGTCGAAGGTGTTGTAGTGAGGGTCGCCAAACACCGTGCACACCCCCGGCTCTGCAGAGGCACCGAGGTGAAAGGACAAAAACAGTTAAAGATGGAGAAAGAACGACCAAAAGAAACAGAAATAAGTAGCTGTCATTTGAACTTAAGAGGAGCAGCAGTGGAACACCACAATGACTGACAGCAGCTAGAAGATCATCTATGATACATGGTGAGATACGAGGCACTAATGCGACTCACTCAGAAGTCCATCTGTGTCTGTAGCATCAGCATTGTCCAGTTTCTGACTTGTAAATAGTTTCATTCAAAGCAATATTCCGCCCACAAAGTGATCATTTGCGTATCAGTTACTCGCCTTGACTACTGGAATGAATAGTTATTTTTCCCGCATGCCTCCACGGAGAACGGAGAAGCTGAAAACTGAGAAGAGTCTTGATGATCTCCAGTAAATGTTTACTTCAATTCATAAAGACTTTTTCCAGGTTTTTGATTCTCAGTTCAGCATGGAGGCATGCGGGAAAGAATTCAAGACATGGGATGAATAATTAACATTAAAAAATGATAATTTAGTGGGTAAAGTATTCCTTTAATGGTGCGTCAGGTGAGTGCGTCTAAACACAGACTCCACGTGGAACCTGTTTGGTTTTTGTTTCGCCAGGAGAAGTCAGGTACGCGCTACATTCTTAGTCCAAGTGGTTAAACCAGCCCAGTCTGAACTCAACTCAACGTCATGAAGAACTCAGGTTTACGGAGTCTTTGTAGTCCTGAAATGGTGCATTTACAGACATTTCTGCCAAAAAAACAAAGTGAAATGAGCCCAGAGCAAAACCAAGCTGAAGTTCATGGGAAACACTCAGCTGAAGCTACAGAAGCTGAGATTTGTTTTCATTCCCTTTAAGAAGGACGAATCACAGATTTAACTTTAGTTTGATTACTTTACTGATTATCAGTCCATATGAAATACCAATAACTCGATTCACAGCTGCACCAGAACACAACTTTAACTACAAACATGAATGCATTCAAGATACTCCGTTAAGGCCTCATCTTGCGTGAATACTCTGGGAAACAGGAAGCCGGAGGGTCGAGAAGGACTTACTCACTTTCAGTGCAAACCGGACAGCAGCCGGTCCTGTTCAGGATCTTATTCTGCACGAGACGAGGCACAGACACAGAGTTAGATACTCAGAGGGAGGAGACACATGCAGGACAGATACGAGACAGAATGCAGACCGGTAGTGAGAAACAACGCAGAGACGGAGAAGATCTGAAGAAACTAAAGAAGCGTTTGCACAGTTTAAAAGAACAATACTGAAATATGTATCAACCTGTGGAGGCCAAACACTTTCATGGGACATCAGCATGTAAAAGAAAGAATAAGCATTTCATATATCTTGTAATTAATGTTGCATTGGGTGTGTTGTTGCTCTGATACAGTCATGTTATCAGTAGTTTGGATTTACACACTTCCATATCTTTGAATCTGAGATTGTGTGACGCAAAGAGAGCAAGTGAAGCAACGATGATACGACTCAGAATACTGAGATGCAGGAAAAATAAATGTGCAAAAAGTTGTTCGCAAATCTACTTGAAGCCTAACGATCCTCTAATTTACAAAGATTTACACTCAACTTCATTTCTTTTTTCCTTCGGGTTTGATTTACTGACGGAAAGAAATGACGCAACGGAAAGTCAAACACAGTTTTCCAGGTTTTTCCAGCAACAAATGAACCGAACAATTGAACATGACAGCGAGGAGCTAAACAGTGTGTGTGCCTTGGTAGCAAACGGTCAAACCGACGCAACCTTTTCTCCACGTCGTGTAACAAAAGTAACGCTTCTGTTCTCAAGTTCACAGTCCAACCAGGACGACCACAGAGACAACGATACTCCAGCTTCAGCCGCTGAACTCTGTCTGTGTAACAGGAAACTCTGCGTGTGTGTGTGTGTGTGTGTGTGTGTGTACAGTATGTTTCAACTTCCATCAGAAGTGCAGATCAGAGGACTCTTTCACACACTTAGTTTTTGTTGCCTCAGGGAAGCCCTTCATTCGCGCAAACACACTCTTTTTTTCCCCTGTCTCACACACACACACACACACACACACACACACACACACACACCACTCATCTGTCATCACATACAGACGTTCTCTCTACACTCAATACAAACTCCAGAGTCCTAACCTCTGCACAAAGGGCAATCTCTCTCTTTGAAGAGCGCTGCCTTTTGACAAACGACACACACACAAGCACACACACTCTTTCTCTGACACACACACACACACACACACACACACACACAGTGACAGAGATTGGTTTTCAGGGGCCTAAATGTAGGGAACCTCTTCTTTGCTGTCACTCAAACGTCACACAGACAAAAAGCTGTTCGGAGACACGCTGTCTCCAAAAGGGACGCACACACACTTTGCCGACCTGCCGCTGACCGCAGGATGAAGGCATGGGAGAGTGTGTGTGTGTGTGTGAGATAACTTGGGACAGGTGTGTGTGTGTGAGTTTGTATGCCAACACTTAGCCAACGTTACCGCAACGCATCAATGTAACAAGTGTCCACTTTTTGACTTGTGAAATGTTTACCATCTATCCATATGGTGGTCTGGTGATATGAAGATTTCTTCCTCAATATTTTTGTCCATCACAACGAAAATGCTAATTAAAGGTGCAGTGTTTAGGACTCGATGACATCTAGTGGTGAGGTTGCAGATTGCAACTAACTGAAACTTCTCTCGGGTGAACGATGATGTCCAACACAAAAATGTGCCATATCTATTCAATTCAACTTTATTTATTTAGCCCAATATCACAAAATTTGCCCCAGAGGGCTTTAAAACATAAGACATCCTCCGTCCTTGGAAAACATACTTACAATATATTATATTCCATTTCAGCCGATAGATCCCCGAAATTCTACCCACTGTTCCTTTAAGGAGAAGTGATGCTGTGTTCAACTTATTTACCGTGAACATAATTTACTTAACAAAATAAGTGCAAGATGTAAGAAGTATTAAAACATGCAAATAGGAACTTGCAGAAAAAGAAAAGGAAATTATTTGAATGCTTAAACATCGACGTAGCGACTCCAGCATGCCTTCCTGTTCTCCCACTTTATCACCATGACACGAACGCACCATTAAACGGCAGCTGTTACATGTTTGTAACAAAGTGAGGTGTATCCTAATCCCTTAAACACTTAGACAGCACTTAATTATTTAAAAAAGAATCATAAATGCAAAGTGATGTTCCCCAAAATGTGAGAAACGAGCAAACGAAGACGAAAACGAAAACGGAGTAAACGAGCAGGCTGCTGAAAGGTCTTCTGAAGACACTAAATCAGTAGTGAGTGAAACTTTGGTCTTTTCCTCTGGAGACAGACCACCGACATCACCCAGCCTGTCTGACCACGGACGACAGGTGAGGGCTTGTTGTAACCGCTGGAAAGCGTGTGAACGTGGGACTTACGCCTGAAGCCGGCTTTGACTGCGTGACCGCCAGTGGCCGGCGGGTATGCGAGGAATCCGCTCCATCACCCGCCGGCCGACAGACGACCCCTGGGCGATCTCTGCGACAGGTGAACGCAGCGCAAAAAAACAAACAAACTCCTTCTTGCCAGAAGTTCCCAGAGCGTCTGACAGCCAACGCCACGCTCCAGCTGCTGGGGAGATCACTAAATGTGCTAAAAGGAGACCTCGGTCCTGGAAAGTGACGGGTTCAAACGCCGACTGTGTGTCTTTAAGCGAGACATCGATCCCCCGCTGGAACGTGTATCTAACTTCTGTCGTAAATCTGCCATAAACGCATTAGATAAATCCATCATACCTCCGAACAACAAGTATCAAACTGCACAAGAAAGAGATGAAACTTGAAAAACAAGTCATGGCCGCTCCGCTAGTAAATCAGAGGAGTGTTGCTGTTTTTAAAGAGTCACGCGTGTGAAGTGAAAACGATGGAGTTAGTCCCGGCTGTACAGTCTGAGTGTGGGACGGATGAGACGGAGAAGGAAGCGAGCAAAGGTGGAGCGACAGAGACGGAGTTGGTGGCTGTTGAAAACAACTCTGAGTTTGTGGTGTAAACTAATGCAAACGGGACGTAAGCTGGTGATTGGCCGGCGGGGCCTGTCACTCACCGAGGGGCAGCTGGTGATTGGTACACAGTGTTTGAGCCGACACTCGATGCTTCCTTTGACGCAAGCGCAGAGGGTGCAGTTAACCGACGACCACATGTCTCCTTCCTGAAGGACAGAGGAGACACACAGAGATCAGAAGACATCCAGACATGGACACATCCATCATTCATCCATCATTCAGCTGTCATCCAACCATCATCCATCCATCCATCATTCATTCATCATCAATTCATCCAATCATCATTCATTTATTCATCCATCTGTCATCCAACCATCATTCATCCA